AGAATACTGTTTCTGATACTAGGAAGTACATGGAAATGGCTCACAGAATGGATTTAAGCTTGAAGAGAAAAGCAGTTCATGTGACCTGTTCATTCACTGTGAAGAGGTGGGGAACCTCTCTTGTCTTCAGGTCTCTGTAATGGGATATCAGAGCGCAATCTTAGGCCTGAGGGAATGGGGGTGGAAGGGTCAGCTTGCAAACCCAAGGGACAACATCAAGCTGCCAGGTTCCAAGTATACAAAGTAAGCCCCTCCTCCACACATCTCTGGAGGCAGCAAGGTACCATGGAAGAAACACTGGCTCCAGAGCACCTACTACCCATGTGAATGTGGGCAAGTCAGTGCCCTCTGTGACTCAGTTTCTTCATTTGTAAAATTGGGTCATGGGACTAGGGAGGCTCTAAGGTTAAGATTCAGGATCTCATGATCTTTAACCTGAGAACAGGTCACACTTCCATCCTATCTCTCTTGTCCTCAAAAGGATCAGGAAATACCAGAGACACCCTACACTAGTCACTAAGGGGGGAAGCGAAGACCCTCCAGTGGGCAAATTCTGAGTGTCCCAGGAGCAGCCCGTGGTCCTAACCCAGGCAGGCAAGGTTCCTGTAGTTCTCCAGCATCACCTCCTTGTACAGCTCCCTCTGAGAAGGGTCAACCTGCCTCCCCTCCTGGGGCACATCTCTGAATGTCACTGACTCCTGAAACGTCAGATACACTCAGAGTTCGCCAGGACATGCCCCTTATACAGATGTGAGGAGAGAAATCATGTCGGCAGGAATCGCACCAAGTTTTTCTCGACTGTTCAGAGCTTAATTGTTTCCCAGGTGTAACGCCGGTTTCATGAGACCCCCCCCCCCCCCAGAGGTTAGAGATATTGTGACTGTCATCTTTTTTATTTTTTCAAGTAACAAACAGTTTTTTCTCTCCCTCCCACTGCCACCCCCCCAACTAAAAAAAGAACAAAACTCTTGTAATAGATACGCATAATCAAGAAAAACAAATTCCCACATTTGTCCTATCTAGAGTCCAGAAGAAAGTGGGCTCATGCGTACAAAGCACGTGCAGCCCACTTCCTGCTGGACTCGAGATACACTGGTAGGAAAGTATATCAGACGTGTGTGTGTGTGTGTGTGTGGCCGGAGGGGGGAGGAAAGGGAGGCCGAGAAGAATGTTTCATACCAAATGTTCTCATTATTATCTTAGTAAATATCCCCTTTCTAAATCCAGTATAGTTGAAAGTACACTGGTGGGGGCTTGTGAGCTACTGGACTAGGAAAAGACAATACTTCGACCCTTCAGGGGCACCTTTAGAACCGCGAAGGACCTAACGACCATGTTCTGGGGCCCCAATTCATCTGTACAAGTGGAAGCTGGGAGAGTTACTTTAGAGCCTGCGCTGCACAGATCTATACAAAACAGATTCATCAGAGACACAAAGTGACAAGGGGCCGGAAAGGCACTAGCTAGAGACCAGGAAATGCTTCTGGTAGGTAATGCTTGTACTGAGCCTTGTAGGAAACGAGGGATTCAAAGGCAGTGGTGAGGCGAGAATACATTCTAGACAGCACATACATAGCCAGTGCAAAGGCAGGAAGACGGCAGAAAAGGAGAGTTTCTTGGGTGACGTAGTGTGTGAAGGGAAATAATGCACAAAAAGGCAAGAAAAATTGTCAGAGGTTACGTTGTGAAGGGCTTTAATATCAAACAGAAGAACTAACACTTGACTGAAGTAACAGGGAGCCTGGGAGATTACTGAGTAGGGGAGAGAAGTGGTCAGACCACACTTTAGGAAAATCACCTCGAAGCTATAGAGAGGGGGAGTCTTGAGGCAGACAGACCAAGAGAAGACCACTGAGGTGAGGTGATGTGGGAACAGAAAAGCTGCTGAGGAGAGGGCAGATGGAAGAGATGCTGCTGACGTGGACTGAGTGGATATGTGGTGAATGGGAGACCAAGGCCTTGAGGATGACCCTGAAGCTACCATCCTTGGAAACTGGAAAAATGGTGCTGCTCTCAGAAGAAATAGGAAAGTCTGGAGGCAGGAAAGAAATAGAAAAAGTCTGGAAGAGGTTTGCAGGGGAAAGATAAAACCTCAGGCTGTAACCCTGTTGAGTTTGAGAAGCCTGCAGGATACCCAGTGTAAAGAGTCAAAATCAAGGTCCAATCACAGAAACCATAAAAAGGACATTAAAGAAAATGACAATGATGAACATGAAATGCAGACATGACATCTCATTGAAGAACAAACAAGCCTCACATGGGAGGCCCCAGGAGCCATGGCCTCCTCTTCAGAGCTACCTCCTCTTGGTCAGTCAGGAGGCAGAACTGGGGAAGCAAAGTGCACCATGAGGGGGGCACTGGGCCTCCCTAGAGTTCCCAGGCAAGAGGGGGCTCACAGGATATTCCTAGAATTTAATCCAATGAAACTAATATTCATTACATGCCAGATGCTATGCTGGGTCCCAACTCCATGGAACAAGACGCCCCTCCCAAAATAAGCTGATCATGCTGGCTAACCCAACCTTGGCCATGCTCAGCACCTTCCCACCTCCCTTGGCCTCCTCTCCCCTGGGATAGATGGGCTGGAGCACTCAATTCTCCCCGAGCCTCCCTTTAGAGGGCAGAAGCTAGGCTTTGCCCTTCACTTTACTTTTCATCCACAGCACCTTGGCCTTCACTGCAAGGAACAGGATTCCGCTGGGTTGGCGGGCACCCCTGCGGGCTGTCAGGCACCCCTGCGGGCTGTCAGTACTGCCCTGCCCCTTCCAGCCTCCTCCCGGGTGTTGTCTTTGCGGTCACATTGTGAGCTTCCTGAGCGCAGGGACTGTCTTTCTTTGTATCTCCCAGTGCTTGGCACAGTGTCTGGCACCTAGTAGGTGCTTAATAAATGTTTATTGAATTGAACCAAGGAAGAATGGAGATCAAAAGCCAGGTGCTGGCCCGGACATAGACACCCCTAGACACCCGGCTTCCTGTGCTCTTCACAAGGCTCACTCCCATTGGGCCCTTGACTGCCTGCCATCTTGGTGAAGGAGCTGACTGGCAGGGCTGGTCGCTGAGGCCTGGAAATGGATTCGCTGGCAATGGGCTCCGAAGCCTCTTCCCCAGAGCCCTCCTCTCCGGACCCCAGGGACTTCTGGGCTCTGGTTTCACATCCACTCTTTCACGTCGTCTCTTTTTCCTTTGTTGTTGTTGTTGCGTTCAGCTCTCCATCTTCTTCACAAGAGTCACGTTTCCTTCTTCCACTTCAGAACTCTTCCCCAGCCACCCCGCTTGAATCCTGACTATTGTTTTCATTAAGGAGCCCCTCCATTCTCCCTACCAACCTGCAGTATCTGCAGTATGGAGATGTATTCACAACACTACACCTCCTCGAGGATGGAGACTCCACATCGGGACTACAGAGTAATAGTCAATCGATTGGCAGAAATGCAAACATCGTGCCCTCGAGTCACCGCACAAATTCCTCTCTTCTCCGTAGGGAAGAGTGATGAAGGCCGAATCTGTAATTTCAGGGCTATAGAGGACTCGTGGGTGACAAAAGGCCCTCTATCTATGCAGATTGGCACCGTGCTCTAATTGCCTCGATCCCTGAGAGTTTAAGTGACTCCTCCAGGATCACACAGGCAGTATTTTGTCAGAGACTAGGTAGTCAACAGTCAATAAACATCTATGGCACAGCACTAAGGGCTATGGATACTTTCTAGTGTTGTAACGATCAAGTGAGATAATTGTAAAGTGCTTAGAACCATGCCTGGCAGGTAGCAAGCACTGTACAAGTGTTAACTATTATTATTTTTGTCAAAAGACAGTCTCTGCCCTCAAGGAGCTCACAATCAGATGGGGAATACAGCAAGCAAAGATACACAAACAAATTATATACAAGATCAACAAGAATTAAGAAAAGGGGGGCAGCGAGGTGGTGTAGTGGATAGAGCACCTGCCCTGAAGTCAGGAGGACCTGAGTTCAAATCTGTTCTCACACACATAACACTTACTAGCTGTGTGACCCTGGGCAAGTCACTTAACCCCATTGCCTAGACAAAAACAACAAAAAAGACTTTTGGGGCAGCTAGGTGGTGTAGCGGATAGAGCACCTGCCCTGAAGTCAGGAGGACCTGAGTTCAAATCTGGCCTCAGACCAAACACTTGACATTTACTAGCTGTGTGACCCTGGGCAAGTCACTTAACCCCAATTGCCTAAAAATAAAAACTTAAAAAAAAAAGAATTAAGAAAAGGACTGAAATTAAAGAGAAATTAGGAAAGGCATCAGTTTAGATGGGATTTAAAGGAAACCAAGGAAATTAGTAGGTAGAAATGAGAAGAGAGAACATCCAGGTATAGAGGACAGAAAGAAAAAATGCCCAGGAGCTAGAACATGGAGTATCTTGTTCCTGAAATGGCAGGGAGGCCAGTGTCCATGGACTGAATGTGTAGCAGGCAGTAAGATAGAAGAAGACTGGGAAAATAGGAGGAGGCTAGGTTATGAGAGGCTTTGAATGCCAAACATTTTGTATTTGATCCTGGAGGCAATAGGGAGCCACTGGACATTATTGAGTAGGGGGATGACATGGTCAGACCTGTGCTTTAAGACAATCACAAAGTTGAATAGAGGATGGACTGGAGTGGGGAGAGACTGGAGGCAGGCAAACCAACCAACAGCTATTGCAGTAATCCAGGCATGAGGTGATCAGGCGCTAGACCAGAGTGGTGGCAGCAGCAGAGGCATATTTGAGAAATGTTCTAAAGGTGAATCAATAGACCTTGGCAACAGATTGGATATGGGCGTGGGGAGGGGGGCAGTGAGGGACAGGAGTCAAGGATGACAACTAGATTGTGAGCCTGAGGGACTGAGAAGATGATGTTACCTTCTATGGTAACCAGGAAGCTGGGGGGCAGGGTTTTATGGGGAAAGATAATGAGTTCCATTTTGGACATGTTGAGTTAAAAATGTCTACCGAACATTCCAATTTGAGATCTATGAAAAAGGCGGTTGAAGACATGAGACTGGAGGGCAAAAAAGAAGTTAGGGCAGGATATGCAGATTTGAGAATTGTCCACATAGAGAAGATAATCAAATCCATCAGAGATGATATTATCAAATGAAATAGTATAAAAGGATAAGAAGGCCCAGGACAGAACCTTATGGGACAGCTACAGTTAGAGGGTGTAATCTAGATGAGGATCCAGCAAAGGTCAGATAGGTGGGAGGAGAACCGGGAGAGAATGGTGTCTTGAAATGCTAGAGAAGAGAGTGTCAAGGAGAAGCGATCAACAATGTCAAGGGCTATAGAGTGGTTAAGGAGAATGAGAATTGAGAAAAGGCTATTGGATTTGGCAATCAAGAGATAATTGGTAAGTTTGGAGAGAGAAATTTCAGTACAATGATGAGGTTGGAAGCTGAATTGGAAGGAGTTAAGAGAGTGAGAGGAGAGAAAATACAAGCACCTATCATAGACTGTCTTTTAAAGAGCTTAGCCACAAAGGGCAGAAGAGATACAGGACAATGGTTGGTATGGATGGATGCATCAAGTGAGGGTTTTTTGAGGATTGGGGAAACCTGGTCATGTTTGTAGGCAGTATGGAATCAGCCAGTAGACAGGGAGAAAATAAGTGCTAGAGTGGGTATGACAGAGGGAACAGGCTGTTGGAGAAGACAAGATCACTTTAGCTGGTAGAGGAGTTAGCCTTAGTAAAGAGTAAGGCCACTTCATCATGTGAGACAGGGTTGAAGGAGGAGATAGTGGCAGAAAGCATCTGAATGATAGGAGATGAAGAAGGGAAAAGAGGGAGCTCACAGTGAACAGCCTCATTTTTTTCTATAAAATATGAGGCAAGATTCCCAGCTGAGAGAATGGTGGAGGGTGAGCTGAGAGAGTTTTTTTTTTTTTAATTTTAAATTTTTAAATTTATTTATTTTTAATTTTCAACATTTACTTCCACAAGATTTTGAGTTCCAAATTTTCACCCCATCTCACCCCTCCCCCCACCCCAAGATGGCATGCATTCTGAATATCCCTTCTCCTAGTCTGCCCTTCCTTCTATTTCTCCCCCTCCTTTCTCTTATCCCCTTCCCCTTCTATTTTCCTGTAGGGCAGGATAGATTTCTGTACCCCATTTCCTGTATTTCTTATTTCCCAGTTGCATGTGAAAACATTTTTTTTTAAACATGTGTTTTTGAAACTTTGGTTTCCAAATTTTCTCCCTTCCTCCCTCCCCGCACACCCTCATTGAAAAGGCAAGCAACTCAATATAGGCTGTACATGTGCAGTTATGCAAAACACTTCCATAGTAGACATGCTGTGAAAAACTAACTCTATTTGCCTTAATCCTATCCTGCCCCCATTTATTCTATTTTCTTTTGACCCTGTCCCTCCTCAGAAGTGTTTCCTTCTGATTACCCCCTTTCCCAATCTGTCCTCCTCTCTATCATTCCTCTGATCTCTTGTCCCCTTCTCCCATTTTCCTGTAGGGTAAGAAAGACATATTTCCATACCCAACTGAGTGTGTATGTTATTCCCTCCTTAAGCCAAATCCTGTGAGAATAAGATTCCCTCATTCCCTCTCACCTTCTCCTGTTTCCCCTCCCCTGTAAGCGCCTTTTCTTTTCTGCTTTTTTTTTGTGAGATAAATTACCCCGTTCTACCTCTCCCTTTCTACTTTTCCCAGTACAATCCTCTTTCACCCCTTAATTTTATTCTCCAGATATGACCCCTTCATCTTCAACTCACCCTGTGCCCTCTATCTATCTATCTATCTATCTATCTATCTATCTATCTATCTATCTATCTATCTATCTCTATATCTACATATATATAATTTTTCCCTCCAACTACCCTAATACTGACAAAGGACTCATGAGTTACAGATACCATCTTTTCCCTTGCCCAGGATGCAGTGGAGGACATTGGCATCTTCACTGTCTGACCAAGCTCCAAACACTCCACAGAACCTTCTTCAGCTGCCGGGAGAAACTTCTCATCCACCCCTTCCAGAAGGGGAAGTCTTCACATACTTTGGGTAGACCTCCCCTAACCCACCACTGAGGCCTGTCAGTTAACCTCAACCTGCTTCAGACTGTTTGCTGAGACATGCTACAGCTTCTTGGAGCCACAGGTGAGAATTGGGGTTGCCTAGAGCAATGAGAGGGAAAGTGTTTTTGCTCAGGGTCCTAGCCAGTATGTGTGGAACTTGAACTCAGGTCTTCCTGGTTCCAAAACCTGGTGTGTAACCACTCTTCCTTCTGTGATTGGCCAAAGATAGAATAATAACTGTACCAGTGTCCAATCAGATAATTCAGGGAAGTTTCATTTATGTAATACAGATAGTAAGTAACATGTCCGCATCCCACTCCCATCACTGGTACCAGCAACCATGACTGTATTTCCTGGTAAAATGCAGTGATATCAATATAAAGAATAATATGGTAATCAATGGTAACAATGTGCACATGAATCATTACCAACCTTTTGTGTAACTCTCAGATCCTGATAGTCTTTTTCAAATGCCTGTTTATTGACTCACTTCAAAATCTATCAGTGCTGCTCCCAGCTTTCAGATGAACTTCAGTCCTGTTTTGTTAACTGCCTTCCACACGTTGCTGTTTCTGATAGTCCATAAATGTACTAAATTCAATATGCCGCCAAACAGAACTGTCTCCTCTTTGAAATTCCATATTTCAAAAGGACCCGGTTTCATAACATAGCTGGCTGAGGGAGGAAAAAAAAGCCACAGCCCAGGTTGGGCCTTCTGTCTCTAAATTGTCCAGCTATTTCCACAAGTGGGGTCTTGCATCGGATTGGGTTTCTGAGAAACTCTTCTGCACAGGCTTCATGCTACGTAAAGCAAAGGCGCCCAAGCTTTCCATAAAGGTGGGAATTTGTCTTTTGGGCCACTTTTCAATGGACCCCTGCTGGAGATTCCTCTAGCTGCCCCGATAATGAGGACTCTTCATCCCCAAGTATCAAGAGCTATCTCCTTGCTGTAGGAGAACCCGGTATTAGAGGCAAAGGTCTAGGCTCTAGATCAGTCAGTGCCTACTGTGCAGTTAGGCACATGTTAACATGTTTCCACATCTGTTTCTACCTTTATGGATGGTTTTTCTTGTGAGTGTCGAGTCCAGTGGCCAGTGCCTGGCATACGGTAGGTGTTTTATTGATTAACAAGTCTCTCTATGCTGTCTTTTCGTTTAGCTCCAAGTCTACACACGCTTATTAAGCTATCTTTCGATTTCTTGTAATCCTTTTGAGTTCCTGCCTGATTAGCCCTGACTAATTGGCTTGCAAACTTCTGCATGTCTCTGTGTATTAACTCACTTCAATTTCTTTTTGGTTCTACTGCTAATTTGTAACTTTATGTTTCTCTGCTTCCAAATCAGGTCTCAAATGTTCCAGTTATGTCACTCTGGTCCACTCCCACTGATTCTTTTATAAATTACAATATTCTCGGCATTAAATATTTAGCCTTTCTCCTATCTCAGCATGCTACCCTTACACTCAAACTACACTAGCTATCTTTTTGTGCCACGAATATCACACTTTTGACAAAACAGTTATAAAGTCATTGTCTACTTTTGCTACTGGGTGATCGGAGATAAGGCGGCTTTCAGATTTGCAGGCAGTTTCTCATTTTGCCACATGGAACATTTTCCAATTTGGTTTCTTAAGAACCTGCACCTGCATGGTCTGTCCTCATTTTCCCCTCTTCTTTCTCTCTACTTCTTTTTAGGTGACCTTGCTTCTTATTTATTAGGCAGTTTAATTCTGCCAAATCATTCAGGGCGGGCAGGCTGATCAAACTCTTCCTATTTGGCCCACTTTCCCGCCCTCCTACCCCTCCTTGCCTCCTTTCTTCAGGTCTGTATTTAAGGGTTAAAAGATAAATTTCCTCCTCCAAACTGAAGAGAAGTTAGTGAAGGGCAATATTTGTAGAACAGGGTTCTTGAGCACATGACAATGCTACAAACTGCTACAGAGGCTTCTGTGCCTTAGGAAACACTAAAGAAAAGTTAAAAAGCCAAAACGACCTTTAAAACTTCTTCCAATTATTTTAGAGGCTGGATACGTTTTTACTGAACAGATTTTATTACATATATTCATATGTTCTAGCCCCACCTTGTACTCACACTCATGGGTTGGGTCCCCAGATGTGACTACTACCTGGGACTCTGGAAGTAATCTTGTGGGCCTATACTTTAAAAACTCTAAGCTCACAAGCCTCCATGGGAGTCATGAAAGGAGAGAAAATTAGCTCTCAGGAAAAGCATTTACTAAGATGGCCCAATGGTGACAGTAATTATAAAACTGTAGTCCCCTCCCCCCCTTAAACATGAACGTCATTCACAAACACAATGTGCATGGGAAAACTAGGTTCAAAGCTTTTTGTTTTTGTCCTTAGGACAAGTTTAATGGAGCTTCAAAATGTCAGATGGGCTTGAGACCAGTATCTGACTAGGATACAAACATTGTTAAACAGTATTTGGTCATTAGAAAGTGAGAGGGAGAAACACAGCAACCTTAACCCAGGCATTAGGCTGCCACCCTGTGTGAGGAAGGAATGACCTCAGTCTCAGGTCCTGGGAAGAAAAGACTACTAAATCTGCATTACACTATCTTGGTTTGGTCTTCTAAGGCCTTGGAGTTTTAAAGCACGCATGAAGGTATCAAACATTTGTCCATTCTTTACATTAAGAAGGCAAGCTAAGTCTGTGTCCCTGAGGCATCGAGCAGAGAACGGTTCACTTTCCTTGGAGAGATATCCCCCCCCCCCACACTCTGTACTGCGTGGCAGGCTTTGTTGTGGTGTTCCAAGTGTGACAGCCACGTGGACATACATCATGGTGACTGTTGGTGAACTAAGGTCTTCAAGCAGGTCATTAATAGTGATCTGGCAAATGACCTTATCAACAAAGAGAAGAGACCCTTGAATGGAATTCCCTTGTTTGCCTTTAAGACTCTAATTTTGGGGGCAGCGAGGTGGCGCAGTGGTTAGAGCACCGGCCCTGGCGTCAGGA